CACACACACACACACACACACACACACACACACACACACACACACACGAAAAACAGAGAAGAATTAGCCCGGGACCTTCTCACACAGGTGAGCATTGGTTGTTTTATACAGGCAATACACTTTGAGACGGATTCCCATCTAGTGAAAGATACAGCTCTGTTGAATAGAGATCAGATGGCAGAGCTCCACATCAACGACAACCACCGCCGCCGCTCAAAGGATTCACTGTGCGCTCAAAATTAAAACTGCAGGTTGCAAACTTTAAATAGCACTGAAGCAGCACAAACTAAAGAATCCTGTGCAGCTGATAGAGGGGCCGAGGGGAAGATTTGCTGAAGAGACACACTTATTATTATCACTTTCTTTTTTACCCTCAGTGTCAACGGGCTTAAAGCATCTCACCAACGCAGCTCTGGCTTTGTGTCAGCGCTCTCTTACACAACATAATCCAGAGTGCTCGTCAAAAGCAATTTACCAGTCGAGTTTACCCGGGGCGAGATTTCAAAGCAACCGGCGGGGAGGATATCGCCTGGAAACGGTGGGTCAAGAGTTTCCAAAGAAAATGCATGAATCGGATGCATCCTTCGAGTTAAACAACGAATTAAAAAAAATTTAAAAAATCGCTTTGAAGCGCAGAGGGTTCGTACAAAGAAAACACGTTTCAGAGAATCCACAGAGATAAGGAGAAGCCTTATGAGGCACATGGCCGTGTGAAGAATGTTGAAGGGAACAGTTCAAGTGGATTTTCAATAATTAAAAGACGACCAGGACATGAAACAGCGGAGGACGTCTTTACAAAGACAGAAAAAAAGCCTTCAAACAGAAACAGATTACACAATTTCCACTTCTTTATTTTACGCTGCTTGGAAAGCTTTTGTTGTTCCCTCACATGTGTTGCAATAACAGAATGGATACCTTTTTATAATTCCCCCCTTAGAAAGATGGATATGTTCTTCTAGAGTACATAAATTGTGGTACATTGTTACTTTAACTGCGAGCTTAAACACGACAGAGTGAAGTGAGCCGTGTTGTTGCACAATAACTCTCGATGACCGTTTTTACTCCAGAAGTCAGACTTGTGTAACGAATAACTCACAGCGATGGTGGGAATCGAAAAACAAATGTGCAGTTTAACAGTGAAACTTGTTACAGTGAAGTGCTGTAGCTGCTGTTTAGTGTCATAGCAGGGTAAGCACAGGTGTAATGAATGACATTAATTACGGCCCTGTTCCATTCAGGTGGGCCAGGCTGCTGGTGTTGTGCAAGCTGGGGGCCGTGATTCATTTGATCAAGTTCACCTGTGCTTTCCCTGCCACGACATGTCTAAATGGCTGCTGTGTAAAAGGGTCCATTAGTGCACTGCAACTCGGGAGTATTTGACTTGATTTGGATATTTTATTTACATTATATTTCAGTAGAACCTGTTCCTGTATTTTCGTCAGTTATCATTACTGTTTTTTCTAAGCGTGCATACGAATCCTAAAGCTGGACACGCCCCCTTTGAGCTCTCAAACACTCAAAGAATACACATACAAGGCAATCACAGTCACTGATTGGGCATTTAGCCGGTGGATTATACAGGAGACTTGGCTCTAACTACGCACGCGCTGCAAACATGAACTGAATAAAAAGCACCGTGCACAGTACATGACTGGTACAGAGCAGTGCCGAGTCAGCGAGCTCTGGAGTAACGAGGCCAACACATCTTACACACGGACTATTACACACGCCAAAACAAAATAATAATATATACAACTGTTTGATAAAGTGCAAGCTAATAGAATAGACCTCCCACTTCTCAGTAGGATGAACCAGATGACGGTCTCATTTCAAAACATGTTAAAAAGAGGCTCACAGGAAGTTGTGACGCCCACAGACAGGAATCGGAGGCTTCTGGGGTGCAGACTGTTGCAACAGAGGACTCTTTTCAGAGGCTGAAACGTCCTTTTTTTTTGTTTAGCTCTGGTTTGGTAAAACATTACCCCACCCAACCGTCAGTCCATATTTTGTTTTGACAGCTCAGAGCGAGTGTTTAACTGTGTTCTGGACTGAAAATCCACTTTGAACAAACGTGTTTATGTGTTCATCTCCAAACAATGGGCCCAAAATATATGAATCATACTACTGAGCATTTTGCTGTGCAAACAAAAGTGTGTATTCCAGGACGGAAAGATTGGCCAATCCGGCTCTAAAAAGGAAAAGATGTTTTTTTTTTTTTTTTAGGCAAACCTTAAATTAAACTCTGAACAAGCAAAAACGATTGAAAAACACAACACAGGGCGAGCCAGGAATGCTGCGGTTTGCAAAAGTCACAGTGCATATTGACAAGATTCCTGCGAAGCAATATAACAAGTTGAGCTCAGTAACAATGAGGCACTTACACTATGTCTCCCACGACAGCTGACATGTAGTGATGTGAATTTTGCAAAGCAAGCACATAAACTCCCCTAAATGTCTACTCTGCCTGCCAGTCGTCAGCCATGCCTGTAGAAACTGTCTGGGGATCTGCAGCCAAAATAAATTCTGTACAATGTGGGGAAATCCACAACGGTACAGCCATGTTTCCACAGCTAATGGCTATATGGCTTCTTTCAGGGAATGACCCCGTGCTGTACTGATTATGGCCCTATAGGTCTAGATATCAATGCTCAAACTGCACTAGCAAGCCAAAAACAAAAAGAGAAACACAAACCAGCCTAAATAATTACAGCAAAGTTGAGAGCAAGCTATATCCACACCAGCATCTGATCATCTATATTATGCTGCCCTTCTGTCAATGTTTTTTGTCTAATTACGCACAACAAAGCATAAATATTGAAAAACATCCTGTCACCTAAAAACATCCATAATGCAGAAAAAAAAACACATCGCCACAGAGTTTGCCAGGAAATAAATTAGTAATGTGATCACAACAACATTGTCTGTTTCCCAAAAGTCTGTGTGAGTCTGCAACAACAGCCTGACTAATCCACTCCCAGGCTGGCTTTCATTAGGCTGCGGTGGCTGCGACACTTGTTTTGTGTAACTCACAGGTTGTTGAGTCATTTAGTACAGATGTATGTGCATTACGCGTTAGCAGAGCTTACGTTCGTACATATGGCATCGACTTAGCCTGGAGGCTTACCCTACCATTAACTATACATGCCCTCGCCTTCACCTAAACCAATTAAAAGGCGACAACCATTTCAGCTTGTGCTGGACGCAACCTCGGCGAAACCAAATTGGGCACACACACTTTGTCCCAGATTCATCCACAATCAAGTGGTTTGATATCCTTGAATTTGTCCTCGAATGTGGATTATGGCAGACCCCCCCCC